CCTTAGGGCGTTCCGCGGCGCGTCCTCCAAGCACGTTTCCTTGCCAATCAGCTCTAGGGCAGCTACTGCGCGCTCGGGCAGCTCGAGCTTACGACCCAGATCAGATCGGTCAGGACTCGGATGCAAAGGAGGACTCGCTCCACGCCACTTAGGGCACAATCGCGGCGTGGCACATCGCAGTTCAGCACGGCCCAGCACAGCGCAGCTCTCGGCACGGTACATCAAGATCGACACACTCGTCATTGAATTCTCCCGTCGCCCAATCAGGTGTTTTTGAAACGTCGCCATGTCTTACATTTCTGTAGTCCTTTCCGGCATCGCGGGTCGATCATGTTATGAGTTGTTGGGGATGTCTTGAGCGAAACGCTGCTTTTGCAAAATTGGGGGACGTTTCGAGCGGGGGCCTCGTGGGGGGCCAGAATTCAGAGGAGGTCTCAGGCGAAATGTTTGTTTGCACGTCCCGCTCGCAGGAGTTCCGAGGATGCCTCGCGCGCGCCGCGTCCCGCGCGCAGGGATGTAGAGGATGTCTCGACTAATTTGCTTGTTTTCGTTTCTGGGAATTTCTTGGATTTTGAGATGATGTCTCGACCGAAACGCTTGCCCCCAGCACGTTCCGCAGCGCCTCTCCTCGGCACGTCGCTTGGCGCGTCCCTTGAGACGTTCCGCGGCGCGCCCTCCTGGCGCGTTCCCCTGTCAATTAGCTCTGGGGCAGCTACTATGCGTTCAGGCAGCTCGAGCTTAAGATCCAGATCAGTTCGGTCAGGATTCGGATGCACAAGGAGGACTCGATCCACGAGGCTATAGGGCACAATCGCGGCGCGCCACATCGCAATTCAGCACGGCGCAGCACAGCACAGCCCTCGGCACGGTACATCAAGATCGATGCACTCAGTATTGCAATTTGGCACGTTCCTTGGCACGTTCCGCGGGGCGTCCCTTGGCGAGCCCCCCTGGCACGTCGCGCGGCGCGTCCCCTGGCGCATCCCGTGGCACGTTTATTTGCACATTCCGTAGCGCGTCCCCTTGGCGCGCCCCGCGGTGCGACCCAAGTCGCCCGGCGCGTCCCTTGGGACGTTCCGCGGCGCGTCTTCTTGGCATTTTCCCCTGTCAAGTAGCTGTGGGGCAGCTACGCTGCGTTCAGGCAGCTCGAGCTTAAGATCCATATCAGTTCGGTCAGGACTCGGATGCAAAGGAGAACTCGATCCACGCCGCCATAGAGCACAATCGCGGCATGGCACATCGCAGTTCAGCACGGCGCAGCACAGCACAGCCCTCGGCAGGGTACATCAATATCGATACACTCAGCATTGCATGTGCCCGTCGCCCAATCAGGTGTCTCCGAGAACGTCGCCATGCGCTACAGTTATATATTCCTTTCCAGTTTCGTGGGTCGACCAAGTTTCCCAGAAAGGGCGCGGGCCCAGGGTTTTCTCTTAGAGGCTACCCCCGGAATCGACGGGAAACGGGCCGGCATAATTACTTGCGGGAAATAACGAGGCGGGAAAAGGGCCAGCATAATTATTCAATCGTTTCGCTCATTTCCGCCGGCCCGTATTGGTGCACGGTTGTCGAGTGCCCGCGTGATCGTTGTCAATGGGGTGTTGCTGGGTCGTTTTTTTGTTTATGGATGGCTGATTTTGGGTGATTTCGCAGGCGGGAACCATTCTTTGCCCGCCTGAACCTTCTGTTTTGGAAGGTGGCGGCTCGTGAATACGATCGCAGGGAACAAGACAACATTCTGCAGTTTCCTTTTTTGCATTCTTCGGGCCCCTTGTCGCTAGTTGGGGCCTCTTAGGAGCCTCTTGGGGCGCCCAGGAGGCCTCTTGGAGCGGAAGGCTCGGATTCTCGGTTCGTGGTCTCCATGTTGGGCCCCTCTTGGGGCCCTCTTGGGGTCCTTTTGGACCGTTTTGGGCGCTTCTTGGGCTGTCGTAGGGCCCTCTTGGGCGGTCTTGGGGCTCTCTTGGAGGCCTCTTGGGCCGTCTTGGGGTGGTCTTGGAGGCTTCTTGGGCCGTCTTGGAGCGTCAGAAAGCCGAAAAGGCGAGGAAGCTCAGAACTTTGAAAAACCCGATGGAAATCAATGATTTTGGCCTCTTGGGACTCTCTTGGAAAGGGTCGGTGCTCTCTTGGGACGTCTTGGAAGCTTCTTGGGCCGTCTTGAGGCCGTGTTGGGCGTCTTGGGCCGATCGCTCGGTGATTCGGAACCCTCTTGGACCGTCTTGGAAGCCTGTTGGGGCCCTCTTGGCGCGCTCCGGCGAGCGTGGAAGGCCGCACCCAGGAGGAAAACCATCTCTGACCTGAGTTTGCCGGGAGTGTCCCGGGACCTTGCCGGGGTATTTTCCGGCCGGGGAAGGGGCCGCTCCGCACGCGCGAAGTATAGAGCTATTGTTAACCAGTGGCCGGAGATCAAAGCACGCCTCTGGCCCGTTGGGCCGGCGAATTTTTGAGGATGTCCCGCGCCAGACGACTGTTTTCAGAGTTTGTTGAGGATGTCTCGTCCACTGCACGTCCCGCGGTGCGTCCCTATGGCACGTCCCCTGGCACGTCGCCTGGCGCGTCCCTTGGGACGTTCCGCGGCACGTCCTCCTGGCATGTCCCTCTGTCAAGTAGTTCTGGGGCAGCTACTATGTGCCCAAGCAACTTGAGCTTAAGATCAGTTCGGTCAGGACTCGGATGCAAAGGAGGACTCGATCCACAACGCTATGGAACACAATCGCGGCATGGCACATCGCAGTTCAGCACGGCGCAGCCTTCGGCACGGTACATCAAGTTCGATACACTCAGCATTGCATTTACCCGTCGCCCAATCAGGTGTTTTGGGAATTTTGCCATGCCTTACATTTCTATATTAGTTTCCGGGTTCGTGGGTCGATCATGTTCTGCTCTGGAGTTGGGGGCGTTTTTCCGGGCAATTTCCGCGATGTGCTGCGTGACCCTGGGAGCGCGGACGTAGCCTCGAAATGAGCTACGAGAGATTGTGGCCTCGGGGGAGTGGACGAAGCATCGCTTACTACTGATCGTGGCGCTGGGAGTGTGGGCTCAGCGGAATGTACGATGGATCGTAATCCAAGGAGCGCGGGCGCAACATGATTTATGAGTGATCGCGTGACCATTGACATCTCGACTACTAACGGGGCGCGGAGATCCTAGGAGGCTCCAGGTGATCCTCGGCGCGTCCCTTGGCAGGTCTTTTGCGCGTCCCACGTTCCCTGGCGCGTCCACTGGCACGTTTCCTGGCGCGTCGCAGGGCACATTCCCTGGCACATTCCGTGGCGCGTCCCGTGGCGCGTCTCCCTGGCACGTCGCGCGGCGCGTCCCCTGGCACTCCCCGTGGCACGTCCACTGGCACGTTCCGTAGCGCGTCCCTTTGGCACGTCCCGCGTTGCGTCCTCATGGCACGCCCCCAGGCACGCCCCCTGGCTCGTCCCTTGGGACGTTGCGCGGCGCGACCCCCTGGCATGTCCCGCGGCGTGTCCCGTGGCACGTCCCTTGGCGCGTCCTTTGGCACGTCACCGTTCGGCTTGGCAGAGTACAGCGCAGCGGAGCACAACGCAGCCCCTGGCCCAATATCATCACCATCGATATCTTCATCATTGCCATTGCGCCGCCCCATTGAGGTCCTTAAAAACGTTTCCATGCTTTGCAGTTCTCAATCCTCTTCTGGGTTCGCGGGTCGAGTATGTTCCCAGGCTAAGTGTTTTTAAAATGTTTGGCGTTTGATTCGGCGTTTCTGCCGGAGCGGGGGCGAGGTGTGGGTTAAAGTATTTGATTGTCGGAGTCATGTTTGTTGGTGCCCGTCGACGTCGCAACAGTTACACGGGTGGTGGGTGGATCGTTTCCAAAAGGTGGTTCTCGCCTCAGCGCCAAGCACGATTATATCTCTAAGGTTCTTGACAGCAGGAGGGATGGAGAACGGTTCGTCTTCAACATGTGGCTATCGGCACTTCCGAGGGAGGTTGGGGGCTCCAGCGGAGTGACGTCTTACGCAGATTCAGATTGTACCTCGCCATCCCTGAGGGGCTGTGATTTGCGAAACTGTTGCGCTTTCAAAGGGTGCTGAGGGGGGGCAGCTTAGTGAGGTGCTACGCAGATCAGAGCGGGACCTCGCCATATTTGGGGGGCTGCAATCTGCGAGCTTGTCGCCACTTCCGAGGGCTGCTGGGGGCTCCAGGGGAGTGACGTCTTAAGCAGATTCATACTAGACATCGCCATCCCTGGGGATGGGGGGCTGCGATCTGCGAGCTTGTCGCCACGTTCGAGGGCTGCTGGGGGGCCAAGCAAAGTGGGGGTCTTACACAGATTCCGATTCGACCTCTCCATCCCTGGGACGCGGCCTCGGCGGAGGGTCCGCGAAACTGTCGCCACTTTCGAGGGCTGATTGCTGGCATACCTCGAAATTCCTGTGACCGTCTTTTGTCGTCACTATCGTGCTTCTGCCATGTCCCCTTGCTGCTGCCCCGCTTACGTCTCAAACTCCGTGCCCACTTTCTCCTCTTAGTCCTCGCCCCGCCTTCCCCCCGACCCAGGGAACCAACAAATCCCCCCCACCAAGCCAGTGTCCATTGATCGGTGTCCTGCGGGCCGCGCACATCGCGAGCTTCCCGCATGCCGTTCGCAGAACACATAACATCCACTTGCCACGTTACCCTTCCTCTGTAAAGTCTGCCCAGCTATTCTGGCCATGCGTTGCACAAGGTTTGGGTGCATCGTTTGGGTAATTCAACGTGTGTTCTCCTTTCTTGACCCGTGCGATCTTGCATCTGGGCGTTTCTTAGGGCCAGGAGATTGGAAGGCAGCTTCTATGCAGAACGCTCCGTCTCCGTCTTGTATTGTAAAGGGGGGCACTGCCCGCAGTGAAAAAGAGGGAGTGCCTGTCATCGAGGGGACCTGTGTGCAGAGGGGGGCCCTGTGATGGGAGAGGGTGTGCTGGCCGCACCGCAGGCGCATCATGGGCCCCCTCTCCGCCCCCACGTCTCCCCCGGGACGGCGCGCGGCGTGCGGAGGAGAAGAGGGACGGGCCGCCCCGGTTCATCAACTCCAAGACCGGTGCGGGTACGCCGGGGGGGTCCTGGCGCGACCGCATGACCACGAAGACGCCCAGCGCCGACGACCGCCCGCCTCTCTTCGGCGGCGAGGCCGGCAGGGCCGGCGACGGCGATAGGCCGTCCTGGCGCAAGCAGAATTCGGCCAAGGAGGAGACTTCGGGGGGGCGCTCGGGCCGCGTAGAGGCTGTCTCGGGCTCGCAGGTGGCGCGGTCGTGCGGCATGCGTCGCCGCCGATCCTCTCTGACATCGCGGGATATCGCGGCAGTCCCCATTCGGTCTCCCCCGCTGGAGGGGGGGAGAAGATGGCGAAGGGGGAAGGGGACGGGAGAGGGGTGAGGGGGCACGCTAGGTGCGCTTGCGCCATATCTGATATCCTGTCCTCCTTCCCATCCCTTCCCATTGCGCTGATTTTTCTTCATCCGCGGGCGCGTGTCATAGCCAACCTGGAACTCCAGAAAAGACCCCATCGTGCAACTGGCAGTCGGAAAAGGGAGACTTGTGGGACTTGTGCGACCTAGGGGACCTCTGTGGCCTGTGGGGCTTGTGAGATCTGCGACACCTATGGGAACTGTGGAACCTGTGGGACCCATGGGACCTGTGGTATGGCTCAAGGTGCAGGGGTGTAGGGCTCAAGCCAGGCCCCGCGCCTTTGCACCCCGCCTCGCCTGGTCTGCCTCAGGCGCGAGGAAACAGATAAAGTGGGTGCGCTCGGGAGGGAGATGATCGAGGGCGAGGATGCGACTGGGCACACCCAGGCCGAAGCCACGAAGGAGGCGATGGATGCTGACCTCATGCAGGACGCGGGACTTTCACAGGGTGTCGCCAGGCTCGCCATGGATCCCGTTGCTGCAGATTCTCCTCCGGGACTTTGGGATCCGGGGCGACTTGCCCTTCCGAGCATCTCCCAGCTCCTGTCCGTGCACGACTTCCAGGGGCTCCTTGAGGCGGAGGCCCTCCAGCACGTCGAGCTCGTCCAGGCTGGCGCGACGTCTTCGGAACAGCATCGTGCAGCGGTGGCTTTACCGGGAATTTGGCAGGACCTCAAGGCGATCCTGTGCGAGCTTGCCTGCAGGCTGGACGATGAGGATCCTTGGGCGCAGCTGGGCTTCGGACCACTTTGCGGCCCCGAACCTACGGAGCGCGACATCCTGGCGAGGGCCAGAAATGCCCACCTCCTCTTAAGCCTGAGGGAAATGCGGCACGGACCGAGGCGGACCGAACCCTGGCCAACTTGACGGACGCGGTGATCTCGGCTGCGGCAGCGCCCTGCGAGGCTGGCCTGCCCGACGCCCGCGTGGCTCGACGGCAGCTCCGCCCTGACCGCCTTCCGGAGTGGAGAGCGTGGAGGCGATGCATTAGCAGCTATCCGGGCCTTGCCTGGCGCAGAGGGGCGCGACTTCCTCACGCAACGGTCGCAGGTCCTCGACCCGCGGGGCCGCCACGCTCCCACGGTCGAGCGTCACCGCCAGCGATTTGATCTTTTGGGGAAGGGCGACGTCCGCTTCCTCCAGGAGATGCGGGGTCAGCAACTGTTGGCCTGGGCGCCCGCCGGCATGGGAGCGCTGCAGCGGATCGTGTCGCAGTTTCTGCGTGGTGCTTCCACGGAGACGCCGACCTCCATGTTGGCGGTCACGCCGCTGCCCTCCCTGCCCTGGGCCGTCTACAGTGGCACAGATATCCGACTCGTGGTGCCACGCTCTGCTCGGGGAGAAGCACGCGGTGATCATCCAGGCCATCCATCTTCACCCGCAGCCGATGGAGTACATCCTCCCTGGACTACGCGGGCCTCGCCGCCTCGCGGGTGGATGCGAATCGGCCATCGGAGCTTGTGCGTGGCGGAAGACGCCATGATCCTCGAGTGTCTCTCACCAGCCGTAGTGCTGCAGGCCAGCCCGCTTCGCTCGGAGGCCTTATTCGTCATCCCGAGAAAGTTACCGGTGCGCGCTGAGGCTTCCGCGGGAACCTGGACCCAGTTGGTGGGCGGCCTTTGCTGGGAGGGAGAGCTTAGTCTCATCGCCAAACTCCGCTGGAAGGCGAGCCGGTTTGGCAGGCGGCCCTACGCCTTCCCTTCTGCTACCTCCACGGCCTCGGCCAGCTCGGGCCGTCGAAAGGTGAGACCAAGGGAGCGCCCCAGGCCTCGGACTGCATGACCGAAATGCGCATCAATGGCGACCCGGGACTCCAGGATAAGGCCATCTGTGCCGATCTCACGCGCCGCGTCATGCAGAGCCCAGGATCAAGGTAAGGGCTTTTGACGGAACGGAGACCACGCCGTCGGGTTTCTGGAAGCATTTGGCCTCCCACGACCTCGCGTGCCCACCAGGCTGCGCCCAGCTCTACCTCGCCAGCCGTACGGAGGTGGGGAAAAAGTGCACGTGGCCCTCCACGGGCAGGGCTTGCAGGTGGGGGACGATTGGCTACCCATCTCGGTCCTTAACGACTTCCTCGGCGCCAGCGGATGGAAATGAAATGGGGGGCGCCTCTGGCGGCCCACGGGCGCCCGTAATCCGAGCGGACCGCGCGCGCATGCATCGTGCATCTTGGAAATTCGAGTTTTTGAGTCTGGCGGCCATTCTCGCCACGTGCTGGACCTCGTCATCTCCCTCCGCGACCCCCTTGGGCCGCCAGGCGAGGTGTACCAGATTTCGGCGATTGGCGATGGGCCGCCCAGCTCAGAGTACCGCGCGCGCGTCGCCCTCGCGCTGCCCCCCCTTCTTCGTTCGAGTACATGCCGCATCACTCCCTGCCGCGTCTACGCCCGCAGCACCAGGCCCTGCCACTCTGTCAACTTACTTGAATGCACCCCTACAGCGACAGCAGCTGCTGCGAGACGGCCCCCTCCAGGTCCTTCGTCGGCAACTCTTGCGGCGCGCATTGCGCGGCACGCAGCAGGGCACCTCCTTCGGCGCGGGCCGGGCGGGCGGTCGCCCCCCCCCCCCCCCGCGACAGGGCCAGCGCTTCGGCGAGCTCTCCCTGGCGGTTTGGAACACGCAGGCGCTCTTCGCCGCGGACGGCCCCCCCCCGCCGGGGTGGGCCCCGGCAGGTCCACCTGGCCAATGGCCACGCGCGACGCGGGCGCCTGGTCCGAGAGCCACGGCGCGATCGACCGGGGCGCCCTCTGGCGCGAGCCCCCTGGCTGCACCTCACTGTGGTTCCCGGGCCCCTCCTCCTGGGACGGCTGGCGTTGGCGTCGATTTCAAGACGGACTTCCACAAGTTGTTCTCGCGCCAGGCCGACTTCGAGATTATCGTTCCTGGCCGCGGAGCGGTGCTGCGCCTCGACGGGGATCAGGGCTCGCTGGACATCTACACGGTGCATTCCCACACGGGGGACTCCACGCCTGCCGAGGACGTCGTGGAGGCCGGCTACGACCCAGCCCAGCTGGCCCCCTCCAACTTCGAGCTCCGGGAGGCGCTGCGGCATCGGCTGGCCCGCCGCCTCCGTCCTCGCGAGGAGGCATTGGGGGGTGGCTTCAATCGCGTTCTCCGACCCTCCGAGCGGGCGTGCGTCTCTGCGGGCGCGGCCGCCGGCCATGGAGATCACCGCGACGCCGCCGCCTGGCGCGCCCTGGCGGAGGCCCCCCGAGCTCTACCTGCTGGAACCCACGCACGCAGCACCAGACCAGGGCGCGGCTGGACCGCGCGCATTGCAACCAGTACGACGTCGAATACCTCGACAAGGCCTGCGCCTGCACCGCGTTGGCATGGCGCCCCGTCCTGCCCCGCCACCGCCCACTCAGCTTCTGGAAGTGCCCAGCGCAGCCGCGCGCAGACCGACCGGCGCCCCTCGGTGGCCCTGGAGCATCCGGACTTCCCCTGGCAGGTGGCATTAGCTTGGCAGGAGCTCCTTCGCGATAACCCCGACGCGCGTGCCCTGATCCGGCTCCAGCTGTTGCCAGGTCCTCGGCTTGCTCGGGCGCGTAGTCGCGCGATGAAGTTGCAGCGATATTCTACCATGCAGGAGCTGCGCAAGCTGCGCGAGAACCTCCGCGAGCTGGAACCGCACCAAACAGCGCGCTGGCGGCGACGGAACCTGCAGCTGGCACGCAGGCTCGCGCCAGGCCGCAGCTGCCAACACTTCGCGCTGGACAAGCATCTTGGGGAGGCGACGACGGACCCCCAGGAGATGCCCAGCATTCTCTGCCACTATATGGTCCGATGTCTTCCGCCGCAAGGACATGGGCACGCCCCTCCCGGCCATTTGGCTGCGGGAAAATGCGCGGCGCCTTCCGGCCGACTACACCTACCACCTGCCCCACCTCGCGGTGCCGCGTCGCGCGTTTTGGCAGGCGATTCGCTGGTCGGGGAACTCCGCGCCGGGCCGGCGTGGCGCCCCCTTCAAGGCGTGGCGCAAGGTAGTACTTGGCCACCGACGCCCTCCACGACGCGTTCGAAGCGATGATCGCCCCACGGGGCTCGACATGGCCAAGGAGGCGCGGCACGATTCTAATGAGAGTGCCATGGCATTCCCACCGAAGACCGGTTCGGCGCGCGCAGACGGCAGCGCGGTCTAGCTGGCATGCATCATGCGGCCACTGAGCCATAAGTGCCGACAGCCGCGTCCTCCGCAGCGCAGCGCGCCTGCACGTTGCGCCAGTGATCGACGACAGACTATCTCTGGAGAAGCACGGCTTCCTGAGCGGGCACTCCACGCTGGCCAACGCCATCGACATCGAGGAGGAGATGGTGGCAGACGCGCACCTCGAGGACACCCCCCCTGGCGGTCTCCCTGGACTTCGAGGCGGCGTTCCCGGGCCTCGACCGGACCTTCCGCCGGCGAGTCCTGGCGGGATCGGGCTGGCCCCTGAGGTTCCAGCGCTTCGTGGTCATCCTCTACGCCAGCAAGTTTTGCCATTTCCCCTCCGTGGATTCGCGGGCGCCAGCTTTGGCATCGCCGCTAGGGTTCGACAGGGCTGCCCTCTATCTCCCCTTCTGTTTGCCATCATGTCAGACGTGGTGTTGCGACGGATTCGCCGCCTCTGCCCAGACGTGGTCCTGCGTGCTTGCGCGGGCGACGACAGTGCCTTCGCCCTCCGCCGGGGTCCCGTGGACTGCGGGCTGTTGGAGCCGATCTTCTTCGAATGTGGCCTCGTCTCTGGCCTTCGTCTACAGCGGCAAATCCATCATTGCGCCGCTCTACCCGCACGCGCG